TCTGAGTTCGAACTGTGGAACACAAACGTTCCACAGTTTGCAACAACTACTGAAAACAAATATTTTGCCTATTTTCATGTGCAAAACACCTCCGGCTCAGTCACAATGGACCATGGAGATTACTCTCCTGCTGGAAGCTGAAATTCTGCACCAGCCTCAGATCTTTTTACTTTAACCGACTTCCTTCCAGGATTGGCCGGAATTAATCTCCGTCCTTCTTCACACCAGCTCCGACCACTGTCTGTCCCTGCTGAAGAAAACCATCCCTGTAACACGATGCCTCTTCTTCTCTGTGTCTCTTGTATCCCTAAATACCTTTCATCAAACTCCAAACATGAATTCTTTTGGCATTCTTTCCATAAAGGCATTCTTCTAGCCAGTCTTCAGTGAAGAATATATTTGTGAAGTGTACGGCCAATAGTTGCCTTCAAAATCAATATACCTTAGCTGGAGCGCTTCTTTCTTTCAGACTGTGCTTTTTCCACTTGAACCGCAGTTCAGCCCTCATCTCTTTCCATCATTTACTTTACACATGGAAAAATAACATGCCCTTGCCTGTCCATTGTATTTCAGCCTGAACGTTGCAGCTTGTGTTTGTCTTAAGATGGCAACCTGCTGCTGACCCCATGTCCTCCTACATTTCAGTGAACATCTCAGTTGTCGGATTGCTCACCACTCTGACTCACAACGCACTCCATGGTCTGTGTTAGGTGATATTCTCCTCTGTTTCATTTTGTCTTGTAGGTTTGAGAGAAACGTGACCTTTTGTAGGTCAAATTTTACAAACCATTTACTTCCTGCCGTTTATAATTATTGATGATTATACCCTTCAATTCTTTGCTCATTTTCAGAAGAAAAAAAAAAGATCAGCTGAAATGAAAGGAAGAGACAAAAAGAAGAGCTAAACAAAGGTTGTATATCTAAGGTCCTCTGCTGAGCTGTTTGACCCTCCTCCCTGAGCAGCCACCAGGTCATCTTTCAATAATCCAATAGATGTTAAAGAAATACATTATTAAGCACAAAATACAATTGTGCTACCACGTTGAGCTGCTGAGTCTGCAAAGAACTGCAGCACAGCTCAATTTAAAGACTTTGACCTGCGGGAAGCTGGTAATTGAAGCACACAGGCGAAGAGGAAGAAGAGACACCTGCCCAGATTGAGATCTCATTTTTTATTTAGTTCATTTTAGCTCTGTTCAACTGTGCTGGATAATGACAAAAAATAAAACAAAACTTGACTTGAGGGGAGAACAAAAAATAAATAAAAGAAGAGAGGCATCTGTTTTTGTTCGTTCTGCTGAAATCATTTCCAATGCTATCTTCCGAACCTTGATGAGAACCGATTGTGGCACATTTGCAGCGGAGAGGAAGAGGTGGATTTATTTTCGGCCGTGAGTCATCTGCTGCAAAAGGGACGCTATTCTCAGACAACAAAAGCCCAGTAGTTACATTAATGTCCTGCGGACAATCATTCATATCCATTAAGATAATCTTTAACTTCTAAGGAAGGTCAGAGCCTCTCCTTTAACAAAAACCGGGGTTTATCATGCAGACCGTGTCTGTCAGAGTTCACCACAGAAATTAATTGCTGTACCTGGGACGGACAAATTCAATAACACGAGGACAGGGTAAGCCTCATTCCCATGCATGGACACTCTCAGCCCTCCTCCATCTTTTTTTCTGTGCTGGTATTTTCCCTGGGGACTCGGCTTGTTTTCAGTTTTGGAAGCGTCTCAGATGTATATGTCTGATTTGTTTAAGCATGCGACGGGTTCGTATATTTGAAGGCCAGATGGACAGTAAGGAACAGCCCGAATCCTCATCACCAGACACATCAGTCCTCAGCCTGTGAGGAGGGGAGCAGGTCAGAGACATTCCACTTCATGGCAGAGGGTGATGGATGTCAGGGAAACTCTGATGCCATGTCGGGCCTGCTGACATGTTTTGTCTACGTTTTAAACAGACCAAACTGATGGCAAAGAAATTGTGACTCTTCAAAATAGACTCTTCAGCCAGACTTCTATGCTTGCATGTGGGTCTTTTTTTTTCTTTTTTTTTTTTTTTAATTGTCAATAAAAATAGAACCCTCACTGCTGACCGAAAAGAAAAACCTCAAACATTTTGTTTCTGAGGTTAAAATAAAAAATATATTTCCCATCTCCATCTTTTCCCATTTTTGAACATTTTTGAAAAAGCTCCAGAGAGCCACTAGGGCAGCACTGAAGAGCCACGGGTTGCTCTAGGGAATGCTATCTCAGATAAACATTAACATTTTGACCCATATCCTGTAAAAGAGCTTTAATTAGCAAAAGTAGAATTTTATCACTTTTTAATATGATACTGTCTACATCCACTGCTGTAACGCAGCTCCTGTTTGTTACTTAACTCATGCTTCATTCTCACTCAGTTTCATAACATGGAATTATGTATTTTTAAATGACCTTCATGTTTTTTGATATTGAACAATACCGGATGACAAAATATGGCATATAATTGTCCCAAGTAAATTATTAAATTGTTCCAAAGGATGGGCCGGCCAGAAAAAGTGTAGAGGGAAAAAAAACAGAACATCAGAATGCATAACAAGGTCTTACCAGAACCTCTAAGACTTGTTATGGAAGAATGGGTCAAAAACAGGCTTTTACACAAAATATTTAATACATTTTTGAAAGGGTTCAACAGTATTTCTCTGTGTCGTTTGATTTATTTAGCTACAATGAAGCTTCAATTACAAAGTAATTTGTTTTGATGTTCTTTTATGATGGCATTACTCTGGTTGTAAATGACATTGAGATGTGAATTTTATGTCAGCAGAGATATGTAAACTGATACAAATGCTGACATATTCAATACTGCTATAATTTTTCCAATGCTTTTTAAAATTAACTTTTAAGATTGAGCAGTTGTTTAAGAAAACCTTGCACTGTGACAAATGCATGAAAAACATGAGTATTTATCTCTATATGTCTGAGTCAATGCACTGATTAAAATTATTAATCAAAAAATATACTTTATGTATATTTGCACCCCAAAACAGACGTGTTAAGTACCATTGTGATTTACTTTATTTTAGTTTAGTTTATAAATCTACCACCAGGGGGCATGTTGGAGGTTTTCCCCAGTCCACATTCACTCCTGCAGTTTTCTGAAGCCTCTTGAAGCATCTTGAATTGAAAAATTTTATCAGCACTTAATAAAGGAGACTTACAAACTCTTCAGAATAATCTACGTGTACTGATTTAAGGTTGCTATGATAATTAGCTGAATCTATGCATAGCAGTATTATGATTCTTGTGCGACGCATGAGCTCATGACAAAGACTTCTGAAGGAGTGTTTCTGGCCTTCGCCTATGATGAAGTCATTGGCCTTAACATTACTGTGCAGTCATTGGGTTGTTTTATCTCTCGTTCTGTAACCAAGCATAGATTGTCAAGCTATGCAATTGGCATTAACCTCTCCCTATAAAATCCTTATAAAACTGTAAGCTGTGTTCTGCTCCAGGCTCTTTCTCCTGACTGTGTTCAATAACCAGAGACTTCGAATAAATATCAATTAAGAATATATTCTTTCTCTGGTTCTTTAAACAGTTTTGCCTCACTCTTTGATGAAAGAAAATTTAAACAGTACAGAATAAAAAGCATGTATTTTCAGGGGTAGATAACCATCAATGATCAATGAATAGCTCAGGATAATGAATTTGTCTAATGCCCATAAGATAACGACATACCCAGACCAGACAGATTCCTCTAAATACTGCAAATGTTTTAATAGGGCTGTCACAATATCACTCACTGATGGGCAAAGACAGCAATTTATTCTGATTAAAAGTTAACTACTGAGTCTATGCTGATGATTTATGAGGTCATTAGAATCTTTTACTAAGACAGGCGTAGTAAAACAAACAATAGCTGGTGTATGATCAATAGATGAAGTGTGATTCATTATGGTTGCTGTGCAATTAACAGTTTCAAGGAAGATTTTTAACATTTGTTGCTTTCAGGTTGATGTTTGCTGACTGAAAAACAACAACAAAACAAGTTTCCCTGAACAGCAGTGAAGGTTTTACGATTACATCATCTTTGAGAAGATGTTTATGCACTGTTGTAAAGTCTGCCTCTCTTATTATACTGTGCAACAGATGATTTAGCATTCGTTATTCCAAGCCCAGACACACTGGCGTTTCTTTGCTATTAATAGACGAGCAGTTGAGTAGTTTCTTCAGCATTCTGCCATAAATTTTTATTATCAGAAAAATCAAGTGGTGCTTATTGCTTTTAATCTGAGATGGAACAAAGTGCAGTTCCATATTTACATCCTTGCTAAAAGTTTTTGATTACACTTTGAAGCACCCATCTGAAAAAAGTGAAGTGCTGCAGACCAAAATCAACATCAAAAATTCAAAATTCGTGTTTCTGGGAGTTTCTGGTCCCAATGCGCCTGCAGCACATTTGGCTCTGGGGCTGTTTTTTTTTTTTTTTTTTTCTTTGTTTTCTTTTTTTTATTCTGTGATTGCATTATAATTGCTAAGGATTCTTTTCTAAAAGCTCATTAGGCACACTTTGAAAACCTGCAGCTTCCTGTCGCCTGAATATTCAAAGGCGCTCTAATGACTGTGCCACAGCAGCAGGGTTTACCGTCTTATGATTGCTTCCTTCCCGATTCAAGGCCATGCACAAGCAGGCAGAGATGGGCTCGAGTGTACTGCAAAGTATTACCTGATAAGGAAAGGAGACAGCAGCGTTAGTGAAGGAGATAAAAGTGAAAGCGGCCGAGAGAAAGAGCAGAAACCAGCTAAGCTTGTTTATCTTTTTTCTTTTTTGCCAACTCAAATAAGACACTCTTTATGTTTACATGCTACCTGCACTGCATGACAGAACTTGATCATTAGACTTGAGTTCCCACCCTTTAGGTTTGTTAGTTATTCGGGCAGCAAATAAGTGAAATTTGCTTGAAACAGCAGAATCGGTAAAAGTCCAAACGAAAGCAGAATTCTTCAAAATAATCTGTACATTTTATTTTTAAAAAAACATAAAAATGTCTTTACATACATAACATAGTTTTTAATTATGTAACAAAATACATAATTAGGAACAGTGGTGCACTATCATCAGAGCCAGTGTGGACCCTACAAAGAGTTTGATTTCCAGGTGACATTATTTGTCAAATAAATAGCAGTAAATAAATTGTGGAGAAGAGATTCTTTTACTCATTCACATTCAGGAAAAGAAGCATATTGTTATCTGCATAGCTTGTGATTAGTTTGCATTAAAACATCAAATGTGGCTCCGGAAACAGACATCAGTGGCAAACGTGTATGCTTTCCACCAACAAATATACCTTGACAATTAAAACAGAGCTGACTGCTAGTCTGAAGGTCTTATGCAGCAGCTCAGTTCACTTATGCCTCTGGCTGGCACAGTATGATTGAAAACTTGTGTTGTAAATCACATAGAAATCTAAAAAATGTATACACAGCATTTGAAGAGTCGTTCTATAACAAAATATACGACATGTCATTATGTTAGCTCCAACAAGCGTCGAGGACTCGTCCAAGTGTGAACTTCTGAGTGACATCAGACTTTTTGGACCCGGACTTGTGGGATGCGGCTCTTTCTATTTAACTTCAAGACCCGAATTTTCCCATAGCTTCTGATTTTCTTAGGTCCTGAAATAAAAAAAAAGCAGAAGAAAATGTCCAGGATCTTATTAGTGTAGCTCACATGTCTTATGATAGCTGAATTTCTGAAACTCCAAACTAGATAAACAGGACCTCTCAGAGATAGATTTTGTCTGGCGTTCTCTAGGTCACATGATAACAACTGGCTTTAGGATTGGATTTTGGAGGTCAAGGAGAGAATGTTTACTGATAGTCAAATCATCCGAGCTGACTTTACTCTTCTTCCCTCTGACTGAATTCGAATCAGAGCGTAGGTCTGAGAGGCGCTGCTCTGATGAATGCTTTAAGCTAAACTGTGGCTGGTGAAACTTTCAACACATGCAAAGCTAATTCACAATTTCACACCTTGAATGCACACGTTCATACAGCTCTCCCGTGACACAAAGTTGTTGCTGCTTCTCCCGCAGCCCGAGTAGACAAACTCCTCGCACGTCTTGGTGGTCGCGTTGAAGTAGTACCGAGTTATAGAGGCCGAACACTTCCCTTTGTCCAGAGAGTCCAGACAGAGCACAGGGAAAGCTGTGAAACACACACACACACAAACATAATTGAGTTGGCTGCCGATTGTAACATGCGTTCCATTTTATATTTAATCTACGAAATCTTACTAACCTTTGTGGGGAGTGCAGTACTCCAGGCAAGAGGAGAGGTCTACAAAGCGATTGCTGTTGCCCCCACAACCCCCCCAGTAAAAGGACTCACACTGCATAGTGGTCATGTTGAAGAAAAAGCTTTGAAGGAGACCACGACAATGACCCTCCTCTTTGGGAAGCCTGCAGATTGGAGGAACCTCTGTAAGGAAGAATAAGAAAAAGAAAAAAAAAAACAAACAAAAAGGAGCCTTTTTTAGAATTTAAATCACAGACATACACACAAGTATATCAGATATCTTACTAAAGAGCAATGTGAGGATCTCTGGAGGATTCACAGATGGAAAGTTATAGAAAATGCCGATACAACTGAAAGTGACTTTTGAAGGCATTTGCTTGTGCTGTAATTTATTCAGGGGTATCCGGATAAAACCAAGAACTACACACAGGGAATTCTTAAAAAAAAAAAAAGAAAAGGTATTGACTTTATGAGGTTCTTTTAAGTTAAAAACTGAAGACATCTTGAAGACTGGAGATGTAAATTGTGATTTTGAGGCAAGCTGCTCACACACGATAGTTTTTCATGAATTTTAACAGTTTGAAATGACTTTATTGGTCTTACTGGGGATTCTGAAGCATGCCTTTTGGCATTCCTCATAACTCTTGAAGTTGTTGGCATTTCCCTCGCAACCTCCATAATTAAGTTCCTCACACTTCTGGGTGTAGGTGTTGTAGTAATAGCGGTCGATATTTTCTTTGCAGGGACCATTCACCCCTGGAAGCAGACACGCGGCTACAAAAAAAAAAAAAAAAAAAAAAAAAACAGCAAGTTATTATTGCAAAAATGTGCAAAAAACAAAACATACAAACAAAAAAAAAAACAACACACACAAGTCACAGACATCTTTTTAAAACTTCAACTTTCGGGTTAAACGTGTTACCTTGACTTCGTGTTATCGCCAGGCTGCTGGAAAGCGACGCAAATAACGTAAAAAACGCCAATAAGGGAAACTCCATTGTGCGAGCAGTGATTAGTCTTTCCCCCTTCTATCAGTGCCGACCACCCCACTCAGTTCAGGCTTTATAGCCACGCAGAGCTTCCCACGGGAGGTGGAATTTAAGGGCGGGGTCGAGGATGTTGTGACTCATTTCAAAACAGACGAAATCCGTCATTAATAAATGTGGGACATGAGACGTTTTGGCGTCGCAATATTTGCGCAGAGTGGGGTTAAAGCTGTGACTAACGCTGTATTCAATCAAACTGAGAAAAACAATACATATCTCTGAGTTAGGTGCCGATGATGAAGATGATAAGCCTATTAGTAAGGTAATATGAAATATTGATTAGCAAATATAAAAATAAATGTTAATATATTACATTATGTCCTGCTTTACCAATTGAACCCCAGTTATACACAACTTTATTACTATTCAAAGTCAATATTAATAACAACTTGTCAAAGTTATTAATATAAATGAAAAATCTAATTTTGCCCCTAATTCCATTTCCAACCCATTAACAAGTACTTTTGTGCTCATGTTTTGACAAAGCAAAGGGGAAATTATTTTTCAAATATTTTGAGATAAACAACCATTAGAGGCTCAAATCTCTCATACATTACTTTTATGTCATTTTTGAATGAAAACTATGTAGCCCTGTCCACTCTCATAGACCTCCTGTAGATATTTATTACATTTCATGACAACAAATTATGAGGAGGATGTAAGAGACTACTTTAAGTCATGTGTTGTCAAAACAAAACTAACAAAACTGCAAAGGTATGAAACAGTAAAAGGGCAAGAAGACCAGCCTGTGATATTTCTGACGGAAGTTCAGTTTACCGTGTCCTTAAGAGAGAAGGTGGATGACTAAGGGGAAGGTGAAGTTATCACCATGGCAGAGATCAATGAAGTTGCAGAAAATGTCCCTTCCCTATAAAAATATTGCATTAATTGGATGAGCTTGACCAAGAATGTTGAAGATGACACATATTATGAGAAAGTCATGGTTGATGATGGGTCTGCGTAATGTCTCTGAGCGGGCTACAGGCCAACATCCATAAAGTGGCTAAACAGGGATTTGGTCCCAACATTTCCCTGGAAAAGTATATTTTAGGATGCTGGAAAGGCGATTTCTATCAACCGCTGAAAACAAGAGTGGCTCTTTTTTTTTCAAGGCCATCCAACTGTTGACCAGATCTTCACCCTTGCAGAGTTGCCTTTGGGATCATGGGGGTCTGGTTTTCCAGTTCACATATGTCTTGTGAAACTGAAGAAGGCTTTCAACCATGCCCTGGAGGCATTTTGTTAGTGGTGTAACTGGGCTGCTACAATGGTTTTGTGCCCCTTTTACACACCTTTTCGGCTCAGTGAAATGACCGAACTAACATTTTTAGACTATTTTTAGACTCCTGTTCTCCCAACCCAGAAATGGAATTAGACCAGAGGATACTTAGTAACCCTGAACAGGAACACCAAACTTACATACTCTAGATCAACAGTTGATACTTTTTCTGGAAAGAAAAAAAAACATACTTTCCTTTGGTTTGTTACTTTTTTGTATTTCCTTTTAAATCCTGCAAAGCACTTTGTATTGCCTTCTTGCTGAAAATATGCTATATAAATAAAATTACTTTTACCTTGACCTTTACTGATATAACCAAAGAAACTCATCCTGGGCATCCAATTTAGCATGTCTCTGTTTGCTTTTGTTGCTTTTAGAAGATAATACGGTTCTGTTGACGTCTACAGGACATGACCCTCAGCATGAACTGAAACATCTGATAGCTGAATGTGAAGCAGCTGAGATAATTTGGTCTGAGGCTGGAAAAAGGTGGATCGCTTTCTCATGGCTGGAGACACAAGTGCTTTGCTGTCTTGTTCAAGAGACATGATTATGTGGAGCGGAAGATATTTGGTCTGGAATAGTAAAGAAAAAAGATAAAATGAACAAGAAGATATAATTTCCCAGTCCGTCTACAATCAGACCCTTACCTGTGGTCATGAGATATGGATCAATACCAGATCGTAGATACAAATGACTGAAGCAAACCTTCTCCATGGCATGGTTGAACTGAATCTTAGAAAATGAGCAGCTTTTCCATCTGAAGACCTGGTCCCCCACTCAAACCAAGTCAGATGTGGTAGTTTTGGCATCTGATCAGGATGTCTTCTTGCTGTGTGAGTTTTTCTTTGTTGGCATGTTCCATTAGAAGAACACTTTGGGGAAAGACTCAGAAAATCCCTCCTGAAACCCAGGATGAACTGGAGAACAATAAGACGTAACACCTGTGACCCCGTTTTGAACAAGTGGAAGAGAATGGATTAAAGAATAACCCTCTGGCCTTTTTTATACCATTAATTTGACATAAATTTGTTGATATAGTCTAGCTGCTGCAAGATGTGACATGAAAAAGTGCCATGCCGTCATGTTCAGACCAATGAGGCGTCTCCACCTTGACAGGTAAAGGCTAAATACAGATTAGCCGTCTTATCAAAATGACCTAATACATAAACACCACCCACTACCCCATATATCTGACTCTGAGGAAACTTTGGTCAAACATGCTCAAATGTTGATTTAGTCTGTAATAAACAGTTTACAGATTAAAATGCTTCTACATCACATCAATACTGATCAAACAAACACCTGTGAGAAATCCTCTCCTTCTTTGATGCTGTTCCAGAATAACTGACATGATCATTCAGTGGGCCCTTGTTTTAATCAGATTAGCAGATTAGAAATGTTGGTGCGGATTACTTTATAACCCAGATTGAGGGAGAGGAGAGGGATTCTTCAGTAGGATTTTGGTGGTGGAGGACCGCTGCCTGTGAGCATTCGTAAGTACTCTCTTTTTCTACAGGTGGACTCACGCTATGGTTGAAACGTTACTAAGAATCCTCAAGCCAAGATCGTGTGTTTGTCACGTTGAGTGAGCATCGTGTTGGTTGAACTTTTTCGTTTCTTTTACAGAGAATGCCAGTCATAAATGTGGATGACCTGACGGATAAGGATAAGGCTGTGATGGAAGTAAACCAACTCAAAATTGAAGTGAAGCTTGAGAGGTGGTTGGTAAGTTTTTCTCACCCCTCTCATTTCTACTTATAATTTCTGCATGATGATGAATTTAATCTAAACACACAAGTTTGCAATTCATTTATTAGGAAAATTTTATAAACTCACATTTTATAAACTCACATTTTATAAACTCACATACCTGTCTGATCATTTTAGACATCTAAATGCTGTGAGGAAATCAAGGAGTACATTCAGGCTGGAGTGGAGGAGGACATCCTCGTCAAAGGCATTTCGGAGGAGAAGAACCCCTTCAAGGAGAAAGGTGGCTGTGTCATCTGCTGAAATGGACCTGAGGAGCTTTTCCTATCTCAGATTAGTAGCCAAGGACAATCTCCCTCCCCTCGTAAAGTGGATTTGCAGACTGAGAAGACTAGAAGGACACGATAAAGACAGGAGTTACACAACTGCACGAGCTGCCCTGTAAATGAATTCACCATTTTTGGGGGGCAGATTTGTAGCCTTATAATTTCACCCTTTGAACAGATGCAATAAATAAAAGATTTGGGTCTGCACGAGTTCCAACAACAATGCTTCTCTCTCATGTCATGTATGTAGTCTGAGTAAATGGGTCTGTGTGTTGTTTCATGCAATGAAGCAACTGTCATTAAACGTGCATGTTGATAACTCAGACTGTCTCTGTGATTACCTTTGCCGTTTTTCCAGTTAACCCACAGCAGGAGATGTGACACAGATTTGTCATAATGCTATCAGCATTATGGACATTATATACATTTGTAGCATTATCAAAGAAATGTATATTTCATTATTATTAAGGTGATGATGATATTATTGCTGGACAGTAAAAACATAACTAACTTTTGCATTTTTTTCTGTACTGCATAATTTTGAAGTTAAGGTCAAAAGACACAAATTACAGTATTCTGTGATTTTTTTAGATAGATAGATAGATAGATAGATAGATAGATAGATAGATAGATAGATAGATAGATAGATAGATAGATAGATAGATAGATAGATAGATAGATAGATAGATAGATAGATAGATAGATAGATAGATAGATAGATAGATAGATAGATAGATACGTAATTAACTAACTGTGACCGAATAATAATAATACAAAAAAATGTATATATATGAATGAATATTTCCTTAAGTCATGAATAGATTTCTAGTACTTTTTGTTCATTGATTCCCACTAACAGTTTTGTACACGCAAACCAATTCGCGCATGCGCAATAAGAAAAGCTGAACGTCAACAATGATGGCGCTGCCAGAAGCAGCCCTGCGCGTAAAGATGCTACTCTGCCGCCGCACTTTGTACAAATTCGCCTCTTTTTCAGGCGCTCGCTTGCTTTCTACGCACGGCTCCTCTCAGTCTGTGTCGCCCAAGCCCCCAGAGGTCGCGGACGACCATTTAATCTACACACAAGAGCACTTTGCGTTGAAGGAGGCCCTCAGGAAGGTACGCAGGATTGCTAACATCCTAATTTGATCACAGTTAACCTAAAGGGCAAGGAGCAAGTCAACGCTGACATAACAGTGTGACTACTTTGGATGTGACCGTCAAGTATTTTATCGACTTGTTCAAAACATAAAGTGTCAAAGGCAGAGAAAACCAAAGCTGAAAACTAGGTGAGAGGTCAAAGTTAGCTTGTTTTGAGTCCTCCATTGCTTGATGGTGTTCATATTTGCAGCCGCACTGTCCTTCACTGCAGAGAAACAAGCTAAATCTTTTCTGAAGGTAGTTTAACTAACCCACCTGCAGGAGACCTCTAACCCATGCAGGAGTTAGAGGACTCTGCATTGCTGCTGCTGACTTTTACCATATCTATCCACCTGTCCTCTAACTCCTGCATGGTTACGTCATTCTATCTTTCTATTTCCAGAACATGACATGAAACATGCAGGCAATCATGAGAATGGTTGAGGTCTGAATGTGTTGAGGGCGTCTAAGATGATCCACCAAACTGAATATTTATTTATATTTAGCACATCTGTGTGGTTACTCTTAAACTTGGCTATGTCTGCTAAGTTGAACTCACATTTTAATTGCAATGTAAAAGACAAGCTAAGTATTTTTCAGGTAAGGACGTCTTTGATAGATGATTTCATGTCAAGCATGGATGTCATAAAATAGAGTGAATTTCTTTAATCTGCTCATATTGTCTACAAGTTAGGCTTTCCGACTGTACATTTTATCCACCAATAGGATCTCAGTTTAATAAGTTCATTTTAGTTCAACAGTTAGTCATAATTTTTTAAAATATTTATTAGAAATCAACTGGCCCAAACAGGAATAGAGCCGCACACAGTTCAGTTCAGTTCAGCCTTTTGTGACTTTTATAGTTGTTCAAGAGGCGCCTATACTTTCTGACACATTATTATTGCTAATTATTTTTCGAAAGAAATAGGTTGACAACTCGTAATCAACGTGAGTCTTTTTAGATTTATTTTGCCAGACAAAAAATGGAAATGGACTTCAATGATAGCAAAATGAGACCCAGGGGGAAGGAAGCAGAAATGTGGCATAAAGTGAAGAGAAGTTTTTTTTTGTCTGACTAAAGCTTTATTAGTCAGACAATAAAGGTTCTTTCTTCCTCTCTTTTTTTAATTAAAGAATGCCGGAAGGCTGAAAATAATCCAGCACTGGGAATATTGGGAAGAATGTAAATGTGAAAAAGGAAATCCAGAACAATAAGATGGCAATGCAGGAAGGGGACTTTGAGTAAGAATGCTTTATTTTAAAAAAAATACTATAGAGCAGTGTGTTTATAAATTACTTACGATTATTGTTGGAGGAAATCCCCAGTCAGTGCTGAAGGTTACGGTCACAGAATGCCAGTAAATCTGACAGAAACATTAAACCATGAGCTTTCATAGCCCTGAACATGTCCAGGAACTGGGCAGAGTCGGGATTTTTAACAAAGCAGCTGCTGTGATGAAAGATGAATAATAGATTCTCCTGATATTATTAGGAAGCACTTAGTCATGTGTTGCTTTGCTTGGATGCAGTGAAAGATTTCCTGCAGCTTATCAATAAGTTCACCATGCATCACTCTAATTAGGGCAGCAGCGTTTTAAAACTAACCTACACTGTAAAGCAGCCGACTGTAGGCTAAGTACGCAAAGCAAAGAATATACATCCTGCTCATTAAGCCCTTGAAAACGACTTTGTTTTTAAGGGTTTGAAACCAAAATGATGATGAATGGCACATTTTTTAACAGAAGAAAGTATATTTATTGGTTTTGTTTTAAATTAAAGCATTTAGCTCTTATTGTACAACTTTGTGACAGTCATCATTGCGTACCAATCCATTCTTAGTAATTAATAATAACGTAATGATTGATTAAAACATGTTTGACAATATTAATATATGTGATATTTGAATATATTCCAGATAAAAATGAATGTGTTTAGAAAAAACATAAAAAGATTACTTCTAAATTATTTTGTCATATTTTGCCATGCTAACTAGGATATTTTACACATATCCTCCAAAACCCCTGAATGTCCAGCCGTACTGTAAAAATATTTTTGTAATGGGAAAATCCTTCCTAATTTTGTCATATCCAGAATATTTTGTACAGTGAAGAGCATCAACTTTCCAAACAGAGCATGCTGAAATTCTTCGCAATGCAACGTTTCTGACCACATGTTACTAAAAGACAGCTCACTCGTGTGAAATCTCCCAGCTGTGCAGCACGAAATGAGAAAAATGACATTTCTGAGGACATTAGGACATCTAGGGTTACTCCCTGATGACCTCTGCTTGGATTTTCCGCTGCTAACTGTCCCTCCCTTTTCCTCCTCACGATCTGAACTTTTCATGTGGATTGCAAGTTAAATGAGAGGGTTACCTGTGTTTGTTGTTTTTTTTTATATTCCCTCACAATTTGTTCTTTTCTTTTGGCCTAACTGTGACTAGTTGGCTTGGCATCTGTATGTTTTGGCAGTAATAAATGACTGTAGGCACATTTTGCAGCTTGACTGCGGTCTGGAGGTGTTGATAAGGATTTATTAAAACGTGAAAATAAAGTTATTTGGTGTATTTTTTACAATTTTGGATTCTAGTGGGTTAGCTAACTTAAAGGGTAAAGCATTAGTTTGATTTTTCTAAGTTATTTTCTTTAACAAAAAGAAAGTTTTATGTTTTTTTATTTTTGCAAATTATTATTTTTTTGTCATCTGCTGAAGTATCAAGCCTACAGTCCCCTGCTTTCCATGTATGCTTGCCAGAAACAACTTTACCTTTATCATTCTGATTGTTGTTTCTCCTTTGGTTTCCATTCTGTAACTATCTGCACTTTTTGCAGCAGTAAATATTTTGAAACAGCATAATTTACATTTGTTTTTAGCCAGAGAAAGTATAGGAACGTTCTTTCAGCTAGTTGACCCACAATGTGTGGTGTAAGAAAACATTTTTTCATATTTTTCCTTATGAAATACTATTGTTATTCTTACACATCTGTAGTATTTAGGTATGGTACAGACAAATATTTTTTCTGTTTTGAAGCCATAATTTTGGAAAAATATTAATATAACATTATACTGGCAGTCAGGCCAGTTTTTACAATGTTGTTACTTATAGTATTATTTATTTTCAAATAATTATTTATTACCCATACAGATTAGCTTGAACCTTCATTTTTGCTAAAGATAAAATGTTAAAAATATGTGTGATCACATCAAATGTTTTTTTTTTAACATTTATTTTAGCATTTTATTTGTTAAAATAAAATACTCTTCAGCTTGCCATGCTAAAAGAAGAAATTGCTCCTTGATGCTTTTAGTTGCTTCTTTATTTTTCTAGAATCTGCAACCTATGCTTTGGGGTTTCAGCAGAGTCACTGTTCATGCAGATGGAATTTGATTAATATAATTTTCAACATAAATTCTTAACAGTGCGTACTGAGCTGAATTATTGAGATTGCTATTGCCCCTTCTACATTTAACAATTCTGTGAAAATCATATTGAAATGTTTTTTTTTACTGTAACTGGGTGAATTCAGTACAGATATTAGCCTTCAACTTCACCATTTTTCAAATGCAATGACATCCCCAGTTTTCCCAATACTTATTCATGGTTGAAGACTCCCACAGAACCATTTCTGCAGGCCACTTTTGCTGATATGCAGCAGCTTGTCTCTGTTAGTGTTAAAAGGCAGGCTAGAGAACAGAAAAATGCCACACAAAAAGCTTCATTAAAAATAACGATGCATGTTTTTCTTGTGGTATGTTCTGTTGCGTGTCAATCACTTTTAGCTAAATGGATGAGATAAAACATGTTTATGCAGAAAAATCCTGCAAATTATGTACAAATAGTACTCTAGTTACTTGGGAAAACGGTTCACATAATGCTTAATGTAACAACACAGAGTGACACACATGTCCAAGATTATTCTTTTGGATTGTTATTTGTGCTGCAGCTCATCGACCAGGAGATTAACCCTTATGTGGATCAGTGGGAAGCAGAAGGGACTTTTCCAGCTCACAAAGTCTTCAAGGTACTGGGAAATGCAGGCTTTCTTGGAGTGAACAAACCAGTTGGTAAGTTGGCAGTAATAGTAAGTAACACTGAGCCTTTAGAGTTCTAAAATAAACACTTGTTTCGATGCTAAAATATCAAAAATCTCCTTATGAATGTAGAATATTTTTTCATTGAAGTGTCAAAGGAAAACAGATCTAGATCATGAAGTTAGTCACAGGAGATGTTTAACAAACAGAACCTTTTCCACTGTGTTGTACTGAAGTTGATTGGTTGATGTTATTTAAGCAGGACAGTTCATATCAATGGATGTACTATGCTGTTGATGCTAATGCTAATTTCCATCCATAGTCCGATGATTTTGGAGGTGCGAGCTCGTTGCTATTGAAAGCTATTGCATGAGACATAATGCCACGAGAAACAGTGCTCTTGTGTAAGTTACATTGTATTCAATATTGTCGCAATTCCTACTGTTGCCCGGAGGTGCAAACCACTTCAGCAAAATGAAAGCACAATCACAAATTACAAAAGCGCTACAACACGAACGAAAGCGTTGCAACGCTTTCAGATGTAAAAGCAGATGTGAAAAAAAAAAAGCCTGAAATAAATTCAGATGATGTTGCGCTAATTTTTGTAATCAGCGCAAAATTTTGTACATTGAGTTGGGGAGGGCAAAGAAATCCAACACAATTTTTTTTTTTTTTTTTTTTGCCACATTTCTTCAGGCATTTGCTACAAAAAAGAAGTAAAATTGAAGGCAAAGTTTAAAAGAATATTCAGGACGTTCTGCAGACTTGGTCATATTTCAGTTTCAGTGAAATGCAGACTTGCATCATCCACCAAAGCCATGTATCTTTAACGTTCTAACGATGGTTAAAGCCAGAGTGACTTCCAGTTCAAAACTAAAAGCGAGCTTTTACTAGCCAATCAGCAAGTTCTTGCGTCTCCCGCTGGGACATACCTCTTCCGTTTCGTTCATGTTGTAGTGCTTTTGTAATTTGTAATTGTGCTTTCAATTAATTTGCTGATGTGGTCTCCACCTCAGGGCCACCGTAATTTCCAGTTTGATTATTTTCATTTGTCAAAACATTTGACATCTTCATCTTTACCTGCTAAAGATTGAACACAACTGCAATTCAAATATAGAAAAAAATTACCAAGTAGTAGCTCGCAATACTCTACACTAAATTATGCTGTCTGCATGACGTGCTGAAAGCTAAACTGATGTCTAATCTGTCCAACCACTAGGGGGCTCTCATAGATCGTTAAAATTTTATGTGCAAGCAGTCATTTTTTGGTCCTTGAATCTGAAGGAGCAAAAAAGATAGTGACGTCATGGCAAGAATAACGTACCTCTCTGCTGAACGTTTACAGTGTCACAATGTTAACACCCCTGATCCCAATGCACACAGTCCATTTATGACTGTAACCAATTGAAAGTGTTTCCAAGCTTCATGAAGGACTTGACGCTCCACAAAAATCTACTTAATGTTCTTACATTTAAAGCCACAATTCACACTGATTCTATTTACCTGTTTTTTTTTTTTTTCAAAGTAATGAAGACCAATAATCATGATTTCAAAGCCACCAAAATAATAGGAATTTTTCTTATTATGGAGCATGATAAAAACCTATTTACAAAATGTTCTTTTTTTTTCATTTTTCTGTTTTTTTGGGGGGATGTTAATAGAAATTGCAGAACCCATATTTTTAAATGTGCTTGATTAATCAATGCTACATTTAATGCTGGGTTGGGATCTGAAGCACTCAACATTCTTGCTGTTGAAAACAACCATTTTTTTTAGGATAACCTCCATTCTTGAACATATTTCTCAACGCTAGACAGGATGCTGAACCTTTATAAAAAAAAAAAAAGAATGTTTGATTAGTAAAAAAAAAAACTCATCTATTTCCTGTCAAGTATGTAAAAGGAATCTTTGGCACAGAACTGAGTCCATTTGTATCCCTGTGAATTTAATTTGGAGAGCTCAACAAACATGAAACCAGATTAATCATCTGTGCCTCAGTTGACATGATAAATGCTCGGTACAGATTCTGTTTGTGAATCTGTTTCAGAAATTCCCTTAATAAATCCATAACATGTCGGAAGCCTGGAAAATCCTGGTGAAAGCTTAGATATTGCTTTGAATGATAGCATCTTGAACCCAAAAAGATAGATCGGAAGACCCATCAGTCAAAGATTATAATTTACATGCAGGTTCGCAATTCAGAAGAGTTGGATTCAGTTTTTTTTTTTTTTTGTTTTTTTAAATGGTTTCATTGGCTCTAGTGGCCTTTATTTGAAAGTAGTTTTACAGGAAAAAGGGTAATGAGAGAGGGGGAAGACATGCGGCAAATGTCGCCAGGCCAGGAATCGAACCTGCGACCACCGCCACGAGGACTAAGGCCTCAATACGTGGGTCATGCTTTGCCCCTGCACCAACACAGCACCCCTGGATTCAGTTTTTATCTAAATATCTCGGTCACGATTCAAAACACCTGCTTCTGCATGCTTTATAAACCATTTCCACTTGTGTTTGCAGTGTGGTTATGTCTGAGGGGAGGAGAGAGTGGGATTAAGACAGTAAAAGATCACTGCTTATGATTGAGATGAATCAAAACTTCTGAATGTGTTGCTAACTATAACCAGACTTTAGATGTTTCAGTGTTTTTGTTCCTGCCTTAACAGACTGATGTCTCATAATAACTTCCACCTTTTTCTTATCTTTATGTTTGGGAGAAGATGGCAGCATAAGTCACAGCCTTTGATGCAGAAAAGAACAAAGTATGTCATGGACAGTGTTGGATAGTGAGTTCTGAAGAGAAGATAGCATGGAGAGAGCCTGTAGGTCGGAGAAGAGGGAGGACGAAGGAATTAAAATGTGCTGAGCGCACGGGCATTAGGCATAAGTTGAGAAGATTAGAAAGGAGGATCTTCCCAGTAGTAGTCTAAAGTAGAGATGTACCATATCACTGTCAATATGTCAGTGTAAAAATTAAGTTTAGGATAATCATTTAAAACATAACATTGAAATTTTAGTTATTTTTAGACAATTTTTACTCTGTAAAAGTTTCAGAGTTCCTAGGGACGAAGACTGGAATAAAGCTGTTAAAAGAAACCTGCAGTTTGAGTAACATGATGTTTACTATAATAATGCTGATGATCAATCAAGCACATTTACGGAATGCTACATTGAATTAATTGATTTCTAAAGGTGGATTAATTGAGCGGGAGTAGGGATTTATGAACTGGTGTAATAAAGAAGTGATTCATGGAGTAGAATCACAAAAGCACATGACTTAATCTGTTCGAAAGCATCTTTTAGATTTTATATAATCAATTGATGTTTCAAGACGTTGGCCAGTTGGATAGATGGCTGTCCAGGATTCAAACATCTGATGGAGATCTTACTCACTGACTTGCTAAACCTCACAGAAGCTGATGGACACTTTAAAAAGATGGAACAAATTGGTGAAAAAAAAGACTTTTAAAAATGTGGCTTATTTGCTCAATCATGTTTCCCTAATCTTACCTTTTTTGAACAACTTTAGGGCATCTGTTAATAACTCTGTTAATAACTTTGGGTGCCTTCCAGTGTGCCTCAGTGATGAAGCTCTGTACCTAGCTTTCCACTCAACACTACTGGTCAAAACACACAGGACAGGAAGTTTTTCTTGCGCCCCCACGTTGAGGGAGAAGCCAAAGATGATCCTTGGCTCTCTGCCTGTTTTCCTCTGCTTTGAGAACGAGGAATCTGCAGATTATAGCATGGAAATGGCCTTGTCCTCGATTTGACAGATACGCCTGGCAGCTTCCACATTTTCACTTTGAGTTTTTTAAAATGCACATGTTTAAATGAAGAACCTCTAATTGAGTTTTGTGTCTTCACACCGTTTCTTGTTTTTATAATGTTTCTGACTAAACCATAGAGGATACTCCCCCTTTATGCTGTGGTGCTGATTTTCTGAAGTTAAACTCAGGACAATGGCCAGAACAGCAGGGCATTGACTCTAGATGTACAATTAAATGCGGCAGATTCATTTTGATTGGCTTAACCCAAGTCCAGATCTAAATCCAATTGAGGATTTGTGGCAGGAATTCATATTGATGTTCACAGACAGTCTCCCTCTTATCTGAATTTTTTCAAAAATCAAAATAATCTACAAAAATGTCCATCTCTACATGTGCAATTTAGGGGCTCACATCTAAATGTGTGCAAAAATCTTTTATATTTTTATTCAAGGTCAACAAAAAAAAATATATATATATATATATATATTTATATATATAGATAAACATATATATATATATATATATATATATAGATAAATATATATATATATATATATTTATATATATATAGATAAACATATATATATATATATATATATATATATATATATATATATATATATATATATATATATATATATATAGATAAATATATATATATATATATATTTATATATATATAGATAAACATATATATATATATATATATATATATATATATATATATATATATATATATATATTAGGTGTCAAAATATGAAAGTTCAATTCACTATATATACTCATGTTTCTAATGTCTGATCATTACCAGCTAAAATAAATAAAAACATCTATATATTGTAATTATCATCACTACGGTTGACGTTGTGCTCCTTATATGGAGCGCCACCCTATATCAACCTATGGTGAGGAACAGCTGCTTTTCCAGAGGGACATATGTGTTTTGGGTTGACATGTGCAACAGAGTTCTGCTTGTTTTGCTTTTGCTCCCTGGCTGAACTAGACAGCCTGCTGTTTTGTTTAAAGCAGGGTAAACCTAGTGCCACCTTTGCTCATATCAGCCGCTGCAGGGCTTCCAGTGCTCAGAGACCCGTCAACGCGCAGCTGCAACTGTTTCCTCTTAGTTTTGGCTACACCCAGCTCTCCCCTGTTTACTTATCCCACTTTATCTCCATTTCTTTGTGTCTCCAGTTGTTTGGCTCTATTGCTTTTATTCTCTCTCCTTTGTGGTCCACAGGACTGCTCTTTCTCTTTTTCTGATTACCAGTGTGACGGGTAATCAGAGTAGCGAGTTTCCTTTAAATTATATTTGATAAGCCCTTGCTTTTATATGTCGTCAGTAAAAAAACTAAGTGAAACCTTGTTACTTCCAACCATATGAATGAGTAACGGACGGCTCTCATTTGCTTGATCAGGCACAAATTTATTATTTTCACTTTCTGAAATTTCTGTGTTCAGCTGGGAACAAAAACATGTTCGAGTTTTATATCTATTCAGATTGAAAGCGGAAGTGATTTTATTTTTAGAGATTTTTTTTTCCACTGAGGAAAATTGACAGCGAAATATTTAAAAAGTCACCCATCTTCTTCGCTGCAGACAGTCGGTGCTCTTCAAAGGCTGCTATAGAGATAAAAACTAGCCCATTATCAAATGGGCTGCTTCATCTCAGCGGTGCATTTATGCAGCGCTCTCATGGAGACATCAGTGGAAAAGTAGGCCAAACAGAAAACGTGATGATCCCAGTCGTACTGGCAGCTTTGGGGGTTTGCAAACATCATCAGTGTCCCGTTAGGTCAAAGGTAGTTTATTTGTATCACACATTTCAGCAACAAAAGCAGTTGAAAGTGCTCTTTTTATTGTTAATACAGTACAGCAAAAAATATGAAACAGCAGCAAACATTACTTTAGATCAAATGCCATCATTAGGCAAAAATACATCAAATGTATTATTGATCAAAATTATTATGGTGACTCTACACAGCTGGGGTTTTAACCATGATTTAAAGGCACTCTGTGTTTCAGCTGTTTTGCAGTTTTCTGGAAGTTTGTTCCAGATCAGTGGAGCATAGAAGCTGAATGCTGCTTCTCCACGTTTGCTTCTGGCTCTGGGGATGCAGAGCAGACCAGAACCAGAAGACCTGAGGGATCTGGAAGATTGTTTCAACAACAGCAGATCTTTAATGGTGTGAAGCAGTTCAGTGATTTATAAACTAACAGAACTATTTTAAAGTCTGTTCTTTTGAGCTTCAGAGAGTCAGTGGAAGGAAATTAATAATGGGGTGATGTTCTCTACCTTATTGGATTTACCGAGAATGTGAGCAGCAGTATTGTGGATCAGCTGCAGTTGTCCAATTGATTTTTTTTTTTAGGAAGATCCGCAAAGACACTTGCTGTAATCTCCACCTTTCGATCGTTAAATCACATCTCTCTAGATAATTGTTTTATCCTTCTCCAATATTAATAAAGCATACCTTCTTATCTCTCTTTGAACACCCGTTTATCGTCATATATTTAGTTTTAAATATGAATTTCCAGAAGGTTTACTGCACCAGATTAAGAGAAATTCTTGAAATTTGAGGTAAATTTTCTGTTTTCTAGTTTAAGAAGGGCTGATGTTGCAGTGAGTGTTTAAAATGTAAAACTTTAGGTAACAAAAGAAGTAAAGCAGACTACCAACACCTCTTGGTCAGCGCAACATTTTGTTACCATGAAAAATTTTAGGCAAGACCTTCTGCTGTTCAAATGGCTTCATCAATATCCTCCAGGCAAATAACTTTGTTTCAGTATCTGTATGAAATAACCAATTGCTTGTTTCTTTCTGGAATAAGGTACTTTATTTCACAGTAAGTGTGGCAACAGATAATGAAGGGCAAACAAAGGAAAAAGTAAAAGTTTAAAATGACAAATTTGGGTTTAAAAAGCAATGCTCAACTCCATTAAGGACCTGAGGTCTTGGTAAATATCTCTCCATTGTCAAAACGGAAGAAGTAGACACCAGATGTTGACGGGGTGAGTTTGGATTTTGGTGCAAATATGTCGTCTAATGGCTCAAATCATGTTTCGTAAACCAAGTAGAAGAGATGGAATGGGAGAAAAATTACAGTGACCCTTATCTGCAGTGTGTTGCTGATCTCTCAGCAGCGCTTTTTACACGCAATTACAGAGAACACAATTAAGGATAACATCCTGTTATTAATCTGAGTGCATGTTACTGCCGTAACAGCTCACTTCACAATGATTATGTACAGAGACCTGAGTGTGTTTTGTGAGTGATGGTTTCATCACAGAAAACAGAAAAGATTAAAGTCGGGAATGTGGTTTCAACTTTGAAGTGTTTGAAAAAGATGATTGGGATATTATTCCAAAGCAGGCAGCTCTTTCTGATTTGTTTTTCTTAATGGCAAGGTTCTACACCTTTTCAGTTTTCATAAATAAAGAAGAAAGCATCAATAACGCATATTATGATAATAAACCAGAAAAACTCACTTTGTTGGTTTTCTGTCTTGTGCAGAGTACGGCGGCTTGGGATTGGACTTCAGCTATAGTGTCGCCGTAGCAGAGGAGCTGGGCAGCATTCGCTGCGGAGGCATTCCCATGGCCATTGGCGTGCAAAGTGACATGGCTACTCCAGCTCTGGCCAGGTAATCCTCTGATAATACCTGATTGTTGAAATTATTTTAAAATGACATCGCAATCAGTCAAATGTGTCCCAAAAACTGCGCTTGGTTTTTTGCTCCCAACTTTTCACAAAATGTTTTTCAATTAATTGTGTTTCACAAGGTTTATCCAGCTCTGGAAAAAATTAAGAGCCCACTGAACCCCATAGAAAACATTGTGGTTTTTCCCACCAAATATTGATTTCTGAAATATTCCGGAGTTAAAACATTAGCATTGTTGTTTCTAAATGACTATAAACTTGCTTTCTTTGCATCATTTGAGGTCTATAAGCTCTGCATCTTTTTATTATTATTTTGACCATTTTCTGCAAATAAATCCAAAATCTTTGCTTGTAATTTCAGAGACTTGTTGTTAGTAGTTCATATAAAAAGAACAACGTCCATTTTGCTCAACCATATACCTATAAAAAGTAAAATTAGAGAAGCTGATCATTTTAAGTGCAGTAAAATTTGTGTTATTTGAACAATGACTCATCCTTCTGAGGTGACGTATGTCCTCTTCTCATTACACACTGACAGCTTTGTCTGAAGTACATTTTGGGGATCAGTGGAACATTATGGTCAGGGGAAGTTCCACCGGGTTCCCTGTGATCTGGATTTGCTTCCGTGACAAAAGATCAGATATGTGTGTGCGTTTGTTTTGTGGAAATATTCACATCTATGCAAAAAGGCAGGTTGCAGGAGATTTTCTGCTGAAATGTTTCCCATTTTACCTGTCACTGACCACAGTGTTGTGTCTGAGACAAGCTGGATGTGGCATCTATCTGCCAACCAGATAGACTTGTTGTGTGAAGTGTCCCTGCTGAGAAGCATCTGCTGTTGACACAAAACAGAATTCGGGGAAACATACAATTTGAGTCTCAGGAGCTTAATTAAGACATAGAAGAAACCTACGCCTGAAACAAGGTTTATATATGAAGAGAGCTGCTCAAACGGGGGGAGCGGTTCCTCAGGAGACCTCGTTTCTGTCCCCCTGGGCCAATAGCGCTGGCAGTCTTGTAATTGTGGATGTTTCTTAGCACAGTTACACAACACAGTTTGACAGTTTTTTTTTTCTTACTACTTGTCTGGTCCTCATTCAATGTAGAAAACTCATGCAACTCAATCAGGTCGTATTGGTTTCCTATGCGTCTCTGCATTTGTTTGTGACTGCACAGGTTTGGTTCAGACGAGCTGAAGAGGGAGTTCCTGCTGCCTTCCATTATGGGGGACAAAGTGGCCTGTCTTGGTGTGAGTGAGGTCGGAGCCGGCTCCGATGTCTCAAGTATGTATTCAAAGGAATGAAAATGATCAGAACATGTTTTTTTTTCCCCTCCCAACACCATTTCGAGTAACGGCTAAAAATAAGGGATCTTGAGAACCTTTAAAATAAATAAAAGGCATTTTATTTACCTTTTATTCAATACACAGCTGCAGTATTTTTACTATGAGCAGATATTTAGGATGGAATTGAGATATCTTTATAATTTATTGTCTTTAATTCCTTCTTTGGTTTAGTCAGTGTTAGTGTTCACATTGTCTTCACCTCTCCTTTGACTAAGCAAAATTTCAAAATTTTGATTTCTTTCACCCTTTACTCACACTCAACTGCTCTTTTAATGGAGGTATTAAAACCAAGGCAGTGAGAAAAGGGGATGAATATGTGATAAATGGAGGAAAAATGTGGACAACCAGTGGTACACAGGCCGACTGGATGTGTCTCCTCGCCAACACCAGCGATGGACCCCCACACAAGAACAAATCTCTCATCTGTTTACCCATGAACCTGCCAGGTAGAGTCAAAGATGTCATATTCATATTCATTTTATACATTTTGCAAAATTAAAGACCTTGTAAAAGTCATTTAGTTTGATGAGCCAAACTTTGAACTTTAAATTTGGTAAATCTTTCACCGTTGTTTTCTTAACTGGCAATAATTATTTCCTAATATTTGTTTTGAGTGCATGCGAATTTCCTGTATTTCTTGTGTTTTCCCCCTAAAGGAGTACACATTGCCCGGAAGATTAATAAAATCGGCATGTGGTCATCAGACACAGCCGAAGTTTTCTTCGATGACGTCCGCGTGCCCTGCAAGAACGTCATCGGCCAGGAAGGCATGGGCTTCACCTATCAGATGCTTCAGTTCCAGGAAGAAAGGCTCTGGGCCGTGGCCAATAGTGAGTGTAGCGTTCTTTCCCTGGAAAAAGCCAATCAAAACATTTATTCTTTCCCCAGCTTTCTGTTTCTCTAGTTTTTCCCCTTCATTCCATCGTCTTCTTTGGTATTTTTGTTTGGTTTTAATTAGGGTTTCAAAAAACAGGGAGTTCGGGTCACGCAGTTTAAGCTCCTAATGCTTGTTTGATTTTTGTGAAAGAAGTCTGACTCAGTGTTTTCTTGGCAGGATTTTTAAGAAGCTTTTTCGAAATGAAGCAAACCAGAATGCCTTTCGTGAAATGGATGGTTGCACATCCGTCTGTCTGACAACTTGCTCAACTCGCAGTGCTGCAAATCAGTAGATCAGCAGAGCAGTTTCAATTTCCCCATCATCAGTGTGAATGTGAACGTCTTTACATATTTGGGTTGCGATATTTTGTTTCAACCATTTTCCTTTTAGGGCACACTTTAAACAAAAGATACAATCTTAAGTGTCAAGATGTTAAAAACTTGAATCATGTGAAAGTTAGAAGTTAATTAACATTTTTTCTAACCTACAAAATGTCTTTACAGGCTCAATTTTGTACAAAAACTCACAAGTATTTAAGCCTGTCCCAATAAACAATCAATTCTTCACAGGATAAATAAAATCAACTTGATCATTTTCATTCTGATGATTATTTTTTCAATGGCGAGTTTGTTATTAGACTTGATAATCCATTTTATTTGTGGGCTCAGTTGTACATGTGGTTCCCCTTTTTACTTTAGTTGTGTTTTATTTTGGATATTTAGAATATCTTCCAGTTGTAGTGTGAAATTTTCTTAGAAAAAATGTAAGCTTACTGATCTTTGAGCTGGAGTATTTGCATGTGCGCCATTATCAACATATTTCTTGAAAATTACATCAAAACATTATCTTTGTTCTCTGCAAGTTGCCAAGGTACGTATGACCAGAAAATAGTGGAAATGTATGCAAAACAAAGCTTGTGCACCAAGTGCTTGCTTTAAAAATCCATGAAAGTTGCTAGTTGCATAATCATTTCACTGTGAAAAAGGGAAAGTTTGATAAGCAATTAAAAGTCTGAAATGAATACATTCAACGATGAGGAAACCAAAAACAATTCGACTTCACCTTTCTTTCTTTTTTTTCAATTTCCTCCAGTTGTCACAACAATGGACAGCATCATTCAGGACACCATCAATTACACACGGCAGAGGAAGGTCTTCCAGCAGCCTGTCCTCTATCACCAGGCAGTTCACTTCAGGCTGGCCGAGCTTCAGACGGAAGTCGAGTTGCTCCGCTCCCTCCTGTACCGCGCTACAGGTACAGTCACTTTATGAAGCTGGGGAAAACGAAAAAAGAAAAGGTCATTGTTCGCTCCAGAGTGTGAGTTACATCCTAACACCTTTATTCTCTCTGAGCCCTGGTTCAGGCAGTGAGGAAAAGAAAATGCTGACATTTTCTGCAGTAAAACTGAATCCGGGAAGAAAAACAACCAGTCGCCTTGTCCTCGTCTCTCTTTCTCTTTCCTTCTTTTCATGTACGGTCAGTGCTAATCAGTCCGAACATGAAGATTGTGACAGATGGTAGGTTTAGACGAGGTAGAGGAGGTCTGACGCACAGAAGCATCTTATGCAGAGGTGTTTCATCAAGGAGGTGTGGTTGTGTCTCCAGCTGGTTAAAAGCTGGTCACTAACAGCCTGCGCTCATCGACCACATCACTAAAGATGATGCAGATGTGCCAAAGGGTCGTCACAGGTTGATGCAAGTTTGAAGTGATGGCACAGAAATAATTAATTACATTTAATTCATCGAACTGGTCTTATTTCAATATCTCTCCTACTCTGAAGAAAATCGATGTTTTATTAAAAGAACAGAAAAACAGTTTTCATTTCTTCATCTTTTGTTAAAAAAAAAAAAGAGTAGATCTTGTACGGACTTGTTTCAGAAATGGGTTTTTATCGGCCATTTCTCCACATCTACACCCAGTACTCTCAGAATCAGTACACACCGGCAGTATGGCTGAATTCTTGCAGTATTTTTATGAATATGTGGCACCTGTCACATATTTCCCTCTGTGGCTCAGATGCCTGTCAGGCAGGAGTCCAGGACCAAGCTACTGTCTTTGTCTACCAGTGGTCTGAAGCTTAGAATGAATGCATCTCAGTTTACAATCTGCTCTCCACGAGTCAAAGCCTCTGCACCTGTTTGGCACAAGTTGCATAATTATACACCCAACCAACCAAACAGTGAAAGAGGAAAGAACGCGGATCACTCACAGCCTTTCCCAGGCTTCCTATGATAAAAGTGTCAGTCGCTCAGGAAAAAAAGCTTGAATGAGAAAAAGATAAAAATCAGTCAGAGCCAATCGCTATTGACTCTGAATTTAAAGCATGTTTGTTTCATATCTCTTTCAATTTTATATTGTTCCACACATTTGTCTTTGATTTCAAACCTTTAAAAACATAAATAAAATCTTTTTGCAGCAATGTACATCAAAGGTAATGATGTGACCAAGCTGGCTTCAATGGCCAAGTTAAAGGGCGGCCGCCTCGCGAGAGAACTGAGCGACAGCTGTCTGCAGTACTGGGGCGGGATGGGCTACACCAGTGATGTGCCAGTCAGCAGATTCTACAGGTGAGCAACACATCTGTGCTCGTTTCTCCTTCAGGTTTCTGTTTACTTTACCTGTTCAGAGATGCCTCAACAAACTGAGCAGATGGAAACCGAACGAAACATCTGCAAGTTAGTCTCTGGCGAAGCGGCAAGCTTTAATTTAATCCGCTGTGTGCATTCACTGCTAAGGATGTGTGTTAGGGTTTTAATGATGCTTGCCGTCACCACGTACTTCTTAAGGCTTAATGATTTGTAATGATTAGATATTTTACAGCGTCCTAACTTTCAGGGATGCAAAAACTGGCATTCCTAGAAACTTTAAATTGCCCCCCAAAAATAATAAATTGTCTTATGCTTATTTGCATTTTATTTTTGCGCAGGGATTCCAGGTTGATGTCGATTGGTGCAGGAGCTGATGAGGTCATGCTGGGAATCATTTGCAAATACATGGACACGCTGCCCAGGAAGTGATCTCATCGATGGTTTCCCTTGGACTGACTTCGCGCCCGTCCTGAACGTGTTGCTAAATCATTAAACACTGAAGTGCAATTCTGACATATTTATGTTTTTAGCAGTGGAGACTTACTTTTGTCTGCTTGTTCTCATCAGACAAGTAAGCGCTCAAGTTTTCCTTTGTAATTTTAACTAATTGTATAGATTTTCCTTATTTTTGTAGAAAAAAAGCTGATTAACATGTATAAAACTTGCATTTTTATACATTGCTAAATGTATGCAGATTGCCATGACAGCCATTATGTGATAATGGAACACACGTAAATGTTCAGAACATAAAATGTGTTTATTTACAGTAACATTTTTACGTGTAATCTGAAGAAACAATATTGCTCTCATAAATCTTCTGATTCTTTAACATAAACTCTTTCAAATTGCATCTTCAGGGTGTTTTTTACAATCAGAAATGACTTTTAACATATGCTGTGAAATTATCTTTCCACTAATTGCATTTTTGTTCATAACTGTGTTATTACCAATTAAATCCTAATATTAAACACTAATATTAGGATTCTGAGTCATAGACGAATACTAGCAAGGCTTTAGGAGTACAAAATATTTCAGCTCATTTATCATCATGTCTTTTTCACATAAATGAACCGGTTTGTACTTTTAGAAACAGTTGAGCGTCCTTCCGCGGCTCAGAAACTGAGCACACATCATCGAATCATCGAATACCATCCTATTTTTACTCCATGCCTCTGCATTATCACCATTGGGTCAGTCTAGTTTAGAAATGCATCAGGCAGGAACTAAGCGATGTGGAACTAAAGGTCCAAGTCCAAGCGGAAGCTCTTATCACCTCAACTTGATAAACCAATAGAGAACAAAGAAGACAAAGAAGCAGAAGAGCAGCATGTAGCACAGCAGTTTGGTCTGGCTGCCTCTGGACAGCTTCTTGACTCGACCAATGGTGGCACCGAGCAATCCGCCCGTCGAGTCAAAGTCCGAGTCCTGCAGAGGGAAACACGGGGGTTAAAAGTTGGAATCAAACGAAAGCGCACCGGAAACAGATATTTACCACAATTTTTACTTTACAGGGAAATAAAATTTGAATACACAAAATCCCTAAAAGTAGTAAAATTTTCAATCAATGCAGTAACAAACAGAAAGGCAGTGAATGAAACGGTTACAATAAAGCTGGCATACAATGTATGGATCAACCTCTTGAAATTTTTGAAACATTGTTTAAATCTATTCAGAATTAAAAGTCAGACTCAAGTCTTGGTTTTTAGGATAATGTGTTTTTTTTTTCTTAACAGAGATTCAATGTATGAGGTTTTTTGAAATGACCACTGTGTCCAAATATAATTTACAGAAAGTTTTTCTCACTGAAACTCAGAACATTTAAAGACCTCAAGTCTTAATGGTTACATAAGTGAAACTGTTTTTAAAGTGAATGAACCCACTTCATTGCAATTACACCTGGGTTTTATCTATACAACTATGAAAGGAGATTTTTTTTTCTAACAGCAGTGCTCCCGTTGGGTGAGAGAGTCCAGAGAACAAAATTGGCCCAAGAGTGGAGCCTTGGTGAACTCCACAAAGGTGTATGTGTGCTGAGAGGTAAAGAGATGGGCTTTTGTAAAGTTAAAGACCTAAATTGTTCTGGTACAAAACATGCAATGAGAACACTGACATTCTCACACCTTATTTCCATCCAGTATCTACATACGTGTATTGCATTGTAAAGTGACAACATTTGAATTAATGATATTGTTAGGGCAATGTATTCAAAATACACGCTGGATATCACGTGCACTGCTTGAGATTAAAATACAGTGAATAACATCAAATTGGCTCTTTTTGTGAGTCTGCTGTTAATTTAATCAGAATTAAGAGTTGCACACGCCTCACTGTTTCCAATACATTTGCAAGAAAGAGATGTTTTGAATTAGAGCTGCTGTTTCAATAGGAGGGATGGATCAAGGTTTTGAATAGGCTTCCCTTTTGCAAAAAAAAAATAAAAATACAGAAAAAGCCTGGCCAAAGCAGTTCACAGTGCTCTACAATTAAAATTCAGGAATAGAAGGGGATTGTTTTTGGGGTTTTTTTTTACCATTTAACTTGGAAACGGGAGAAAACACTTGTTGGCTTTTATATGTGGAGGAAGCGTAAACAAAATGACCAAGTGAAACCCACCATGTCGTCCAACATTTTATTCTGGTACTTCACTTCGGTTCCGATTTCAATCGACAGCTGTTAAGACAGTGATATTGGCAACATGTGAACAATTAAATAGCAATTCTACTAATCGTCTCCGGTTCTGATTTGGGTCCGTGCTCACTTACACTCTTCAGGGCGCTGACTTTGTTCCTCAGTCCCTCCTGAAGATGCTCATTTTCCTCCTCATGCACACTGTAGCCGCTGGGTACATAATGTCCAGAGCTTCCTTCACCTGCAAGAAAAAATAAATAAATACCGTCAGTAAGGTTTATCATTAGCCTTGTGCTCCCGTTGGGTGAAAAACAAAAGCCTAAAACAAGAGTTCGGGACAGTAAACAGATGGCAAACACGTTAGCTAATTAGCAAACAAGCTAAACGTGAACCGTGAGGTATGATTGTTTTTTCCTACCCATTCCGGCGCGCCTCATCTCGACCCACTGAAATGAATGATTCCCGGAATGAATTTGAGGTGTGGATGAAAATTACGGAGGCTGAATGTGGTTGGAAGCGAAACTAAACCGTAGCCTGATAGTTGTGACGCCGATTTCCCACCGTAGTAAACGCCACGACATCATACGGTGGCCGACGAGGGCGAAGTTTTCCAAAGAAAAGGGGCGTTTCACAGAAACATGAGACGCTATGGTTACTACGCCTACGCAATAATAATAATAGTCATAATTAATAATAGCCTGCTGCCCTGTTTACCATAAAAGTCTAATTTCACAAATACTCTTCTTAATGCTTGTGTTTGTGTGTAAACAGTGAGTGTAAAAGCATTACATTGCAGAGTGTAGAGCTCTCTCAGACATGACAATCCAAAGTGCTTGTCATGTAGAAAGAAAGTGGACTTTTGCTGGTTTCTTGAATTTCCAAAAAGAAAGAAAAAAAAAACAAGTTAAGAGCATCAGAGTGTGGAGATTCTTGTTTCAAATCCAGGTATATCTACTGGGAACACGTAACAGTGCCTTCCAAAAGTTTTCAGCCTTTTCAGTTTTCGTTGCGTTATAACCGCTACCTATTGCATGATATCTGAACTCTTTGTGACAAATCAACACAAAGTGTATGGAGATGAAAAAGATGAACAGTTCTTAGTCCCCCTTTTTTTCTGATACTACTAAATAAAACAAGTTCCCTCAGAAGTTATTTGTTTTGTGAGTGCGTGCACCTGTATGTAATTTAATTTCAGTGCAAAAACTGTGAATACCTCAAAGAGATCATGAAGAAAAAAAATAACTAAACATAAATGTGTTTGTTATTCTGCTCCAAAAACCATGATGTTCATTTCAAATTTCATACAAATCAGAGTTGTTGTCTGTATAACAAGGTGTCAATACCACAAACAAAGACAAAATACCTTCTTAAAACAAAAAGTCATCATCATCCGTCTCTATTGACTTTCCTTCACATGTATTCTGAACTCCCAACATTTTTATAATAGGAATTAAGAGTCATCTTACTCAGTAACAGTGATCAATGCATTGTGCTGTCCAATTTGTGTGATACTTTCCAATAATATTTTTCTTTTGCAGACATTTTATTTTATTTTTATTCCATTTGTGCCATGTCACAGAGTCTGAGCATTTTGATTTCCCTTTAGTTTAGTCATCCCTGCATTTTGATATTATCCTGATTTAACACTGATTGTACTCTTTGTTGAGTTTGTATGTAAAGGGGTTTTAAAATAATACATGAAGTGTGCATCCTTTGGTAAGCTGTTAAAAAAAATTGCTTGGCGAAATGCAAATTAACAAAAAATAAAATGTATTTTTAACAGCATAGATCCCAATGTGGGAAACATCTGAGGGTTAATCTCCCTTTGGCAGTAGATGATGTGATTATGAGAAGAAGATTTCTATATGATCCTTTCCTATGCAGGCGGATTGTTTCCTTTGAACATTTTGAAAGGCAATCACCATAAAATGCAGACGGATGTTCTTTCTGGGTTCAGTTCCAGGGCACACTGATATATCCGTCTGTGCCGCATTGGATGGAAAAGATTTTCTCAACACTTCCCAAAATCCTGTAGGTGCTTTTTAGTCATGATTGGCTTCCTTTATCCCCTCATACGTGATCCATCACCCAGCTTTTAGCCAACGCTGCGCAGGGCCTCTAATCTGGTTTGAAAGATTAAAATGACTTTTATGGCGTTAATTTATCACAGACTGATATCTTTAAATAAAAACATTTTTAAAACTTATCAACTGTATCCCATTTCAGTGCCTCATTTCCCATCTCTATATCTGAATGAAAAGCTTTACTGTATATGCAGCCTTGACATGAGGGTTGAAGCTACAGATGATGTTGACTGAAATGTGTGTGGCCATCTTGGTGTGCTTTATGGATCCAAAGGGGTTTTATTTAACGAAAGGGCATTCAGACTGGAGAAAGGCACTTGGATGTTTAAAACTTGGTATTTATCCTTGTGCCAACATATGCAAATTCAGACTAGTCTGTGAGGCCATGATCACCATACCAGCCCATACCTTCATAAACCCAAAACTCTTTACATACAGTCTCCATCCCCTCTAACTTTCTGTTCATTTACAATATATATGTTGTTAGCTTTTGCATTCACACATTTCCTGCAGATCCACACCAACAAATTAAGCTAATTTCAGTACCTCCTGTTACTTTGCTGAATAAAAATAGAATAAACTGTTCGCCAAGATAAATGCCTCCGTTGAACTTGCTATGTACCAACTACAGTTTGCATAATTTTGTTTAAATAAACTCCCACATCCTCCTAATAAGAAGTGCATCACTGCAAGAGATCAATAAGGTTTGCGTGCTGCTTGTGGATACAGAACCACAATGAACAGAAAATAGCAGCTCTGTTAAATCTCTGCTAAATCCAGGCTGATGCTTCACAACATTTTACCGACCCTGATTTCCTCGATTCCTCCAGAGATTGCAGTAATGAATGAGTCAGATGACAACTTAAAAGAAGGAAAAACACGCCAAGTAGGAGATAAACTACCATTGATGCAGTTTTACTTCCTCTGAATAAAAAAATCAAAAAGGGCCTCTGATGACACTTTAGCCTCAGACGATGTCTGACTTATAAAGCAGGAATCAAATGAAAATAATTTTTTTTTATTAAGTGCATGATGAAATTTAGTGTAATGTGACTAAAACTATTGTGATACTTGAAGAGGTTGGGGAATTAATACAAGGCATAAATGAGAGCTACTTAAATGACATAATTATCTGAATAATAGATCAAAACAAGATACATCTGGAAAAACTACATTATGAAACTAGTGGACTGTGAAACTCACTATCACTGGTTTTGTTTCCACAGAGTTGGAATCAAGAGCAAATTATTATAAGAGCAAATTATTATAAAATCAAAAACTGTGAAATGTATATTACACTGACACTGGTAGTGTTGTGTCTCAATGTAGTTTAACCACACACTTTTTTTAAATCAAACTTTCGCCACCTTTTCATAAAGATAACCTTTATAGAAGAGAGCTTAGTTTACCCTTTTAAATACTGAACCTTTGTATGAATAAAACATGCAGAGCTGTAGGAAGAAAAGCTCTCGGAAGTCCCTCAGTCGAAATGGAAAATGTCTGCTGGTCTCTATCTTCAGAAATAATTGGGTGAGAGGCGGGTTACACTTTAGACTGGTCAACATCACATTTATATGTAGAGGCATTTTAGAGAAACCAATTAACTTAACATGCATATTTTTGGACTTTTCCACCTCCTGCATGAGGAGAGCTTGGAAAGTCTGTGCAAAAAATTCAAACCAAGGAGTTTAATTTTGCAAGGCAACAATGCTGGCAACTTTGTCACCGTTCATCTCTGCCTTCATATTCACAAAGCATTTCTTGAACGCTTGGTGTTTTGAAAAGACCCAGTGGCTTCTATACGTGCTTGACCCGCATACATGGCTCCTCTCAACAGTACTTTTATACTGACAAAGGGGCGGACGAAAATAACAGTGCAAGTATGCGTTGACAAAATTATGTGAAGGTTTATTTAAGCAAACTTGTACCTACTAACAAACTATATTACTATCACAATATCGGGGGGAAAAATGTGATGTTTGTTTACCTGTTTACATGTATTTATTTAAAATACAAACAGACAGTAGCAAATTGCTTTGTTATTGATTCTCTTGAAAGATATCAAATTTTAAAGAAATAATTGCAATTAGGAATTATTCATGTTCAACAGTTAAATTGATGAAAAAACTTGTATTGGCTCATTCACAGAATCTTGGTTTTCATGATGCAATAGACATGTAGAAAGAAAAAGTGTCCCTAGTAATCTGCATGTATGCCAACTTATTTTCATTTAAAAAAATATTTCTTAATGTAGAGCTTGTGAAAAAACTTCTTTATAATCATGTGATTTTGATCACACCTTCTGATCCCGCTGTTACAGAAAAGTAAAAACTGAATATGAACAGATTAAGTCTCAGTAGAAACATGAAGGTCAGACACTTTCTCAAAGTCAACGATCTGAAAGCCTCCATTATAGCTTTATGGTTCTCCCACTTGGCTGAATTGCTTTAGGGAATATCCGTCTCTCCTGATGAAAAAGACTATAACTCTCACTGAAATAAGTTGTCCCCTTTTGTACCCCTGCTGCTGTACACCTGTCTGATGTGTGTGCCTAGGCGTTTGCACTTGACAGTGAGTTTATAGCTGCAATTTTAAGAACCCAGTGAATTTTCAAAAAATTAAGAGAAATCCATCAAACACTGAAGTGACTTTCTCCTCTTTTTCTTGTTGAAGTAAAGCCTTAAAATCAAACTTGATATTTTCAAGTACCATTTACTGCTAAATTAGAATTGAAAACCCCAATCTAGGGCCTAATTATGATTCAGTTTCATTTTCTGCCCTTCTTGGTGACCTTTTAATCAATAAATACCATTGGAAGTGACTCCAATTACAAAGCACTTCTGTTTCATATTAGTGAAAGGAAACATTTTATTTCAATCAACAGCAACAGCCCGACCAGCCCTGTAAATGTTAATGTCACTGACTGAGAGTTGATCTTTTCCCTGTGGCATTTCCAGGATAATGATTGCTTGACAAAGACGTTCATTGATGCTGCAGCAGATGACGATGGATACCTTTTTGTTCGTTGCTTGATTTGGATTCAGTCGCACATGGAATGTTTCAGATTATCAGATCAACCTGAGCAAATCAAAAAGTAGATTTCAACTTATTATTAGATTTGCTAAGGGTAAAAAGTTATCCATCCTGTCCCTAAGAGAAAATATACATTTTTCATTGTTAAATCATACATTAGCTGTGATTGGTTCATTTTTGCCATACTCTGGGCTGGTTATTGGCTGACCTGCAAAATTAAGCTTCTTCAAACTATTTGTTTGGTTGTTTTTTTCTTCTCTGAAAATTTGACTTACCATTTGAAAATTGCAGTTTTCATTAATTCAGTGTTCATGTGATATAAGTGAAATAAAAAAATAATAATTTTGGCAGAAAATGTTCACGGTATTTTTTTTCTTAGTCTAAAGCCATTTTATTATTATAAGATTATTCCCTCCGTTTGATTCTGCAGTTGATTATAATCCTATGACCACTTCATTGGTCTGGTGGAAAAGCTTTTTTTTA